AAATGGGATTACATCTAATACATGTTTTTTTTGGTACACAATTCAATCCATGACAGCAACGAAGTTTTTAGGGGGGAAGGGGGAAGAGATTTGAGTGATAATTCAGGAATAGATTGACAGGACTTGATGGCAATTAGACATGGAAATTGGGGGGTGGGAGGAGGAGTCAGGATGTTGCCTAGGTTTTGGATTTGGGTAACCAGGTAGATGTTAGTGTTATTAAGCAAGATAAGAAATCTAAGAATTAGAGTGATAGGTTTGTGTAGAAGGTGATGAATTTTCTTTGTATCTTTTGAGCTAGAGTTATATTCAGGTGGTGAGGTTCACAGGTGGTTGATTATTTCATGTGGAGCTCAGAAAGGAAGTTGAGGCTATAGATACAGATTAGGAATTATTGGGAAGTATAGTAATAGGTATTGAAACTGTGGGATTAAGTAAAGTTGCCCAGGGAGAGAGAGAATAGAGTACGAGGACCTGTGACAGAACCCCAAGAACATTAACATTTAAGGATAGATGGAGAAAGAGGAGTCCAGGGAAAAGACAGAAGGGATGATCAGAGTTAAAAGGAGAACTAGACTGGCACCTAGAAGGTTAAAGGTAGTGTAGTGGGGATGGCATCATACTGTCATATTCTGTAAAGAGTCAAGTAAGTAGAAGACTGAAATGAGATCTTTGGATTTGACAAGTTGTGCAACAGAGAGAGCGGGCATTGTTATCATACAGACTGGAGTTTGAATCCTGGCTCCACGTCTTATTTTACTGTGAGACTTTTGGCAAGTTACTTAGCCTCTGAGCTTTGTTTTTTTCTTTTAAAAACTGAGCTAGGAGTTATCAGAAAAGATTGATCTAAATATTAAATGAAATTAGTAAACTTATGTAAAGTGCTTATTGTAGTTTCTGGCTAATAGTAGAGATTTGATAAAGAGTAGCTAGGATAATAATAATGACGGGGGTGGTGGCGTAAGTTTGCTGGTGACCTAAGCAATGGTACTTTCTCAGTGATAGGGTGGTAATGTTGTAGCTAAGAAGGAGGACAGAAACTAGATTGAGTTGGGTTGAGGAATGAAATGGAGGAAGTTTTTTTTGTTTTTCCCTTTTTCAAAAAGCTTTGCTTCTAAGGGAAGGAAGAGGATTTAGAGTCATTTTGGTTAATAAAAAGCCATCGACCTATTGAGAGAGCAACTTTAGTAGAGAAATAGGGCAGAAGCTGAACGTAAATAAGCTTAGTATGAGTAGGATATGAAGATGATATAGTGAATGTAAACTTTAGAATATTTTAGAAGTAAAAATTAGTTTGGTTATCTAAACGAACCATATTTATATCAATTCAAATACAGACCTGAAGAAAATAGAAACTCCCCTGAAGATATATCCCTATGTGCCACCAAACTCCATCTCATAATCCCACTTACAAAGAGCCAAATTCACCCCAAATTTAAGTCTCCATATCTGCATATATGAATTATTCATAGGCTTAAAACTTTCTCCCCCCTCATTACTAAAATCCTAGTTACTGAAACTTTTTTCGTATGAAGCTTTGAATTGGACACCAGAAACCAAAACCAAACCGGTTGCTGTGAAGTCTAGTCTAGAAAGCCTCTGACCAAGTGCTAGGGAAAATATGAAGATTGTCTTTGTAGTTCTGCCAACACTCTTATTTTACAGAAATTTGAAACCCAATCGTGAGTAAAATACTTTTTAGTTCACATTGGGAACTGGTGGTGTCGACTGGGATGAAACTCCAGGCCTCCTAACTACTGTATGGTGTTCTTTCTACTACAGCTCAGTGCAAAAATAGATAATCCTTTCTACTAGTATATAAAGAATTGGTATTTTAAAACCTAATAAATTAAGAAATGATTATTTGAGTTAAAGAACATTCATCTCAAGAATTATTTAATAGCAAGCTAGAGTTAAGATTTTGAGTTTTTATGTAAGTTGTGAATTCACACATTTAAACAAGTTCACAAATTAGGAACACGTTTAATGTATAAATTGATATCTGTATTTTATTGTAAGATTGACTTTAGAATTCTAGATTTCTTAGCTTTTGATTTATTGTAATCTGGAACCTTTAGATATGCCCTACTACTAATAGCTATTACTTATTAAGTCCTTTTCTTGTGCTTTGGCTAAGCTCTTTGCATTGATTATCTCATTTAATCTTCATAACAATTTAAGAGGTAAGTATTCTCGTTATGAGGAAATGGAACGGAGACATATCAGCTTGGCCAAGGCTGCACATCTGGTATACAGAGTGGAGCTAAAACTTAAATTATTATTTTTTAACTTTTTTTCTTCTTTTTGTTTACTATAATATAGTAGTTTCTATCTCATTTTGATTCTACTTGCTTCATTTTGAATTTAAAACCAGTGTAGACATCCTCATACTCAGAGAGGGTGATTTCTATTTGAATCATAGATTGATCATTGATGAGAATGTTAAAATATCCTCCAGCTGACAACTGACCCTTATGGAATGAACACTCCTTATGATATTTTGCCAGGTTGAGGTAGAATGCTTGGTAAATCTTTCTTGGGGATGGTATTTTACATTTAAAAGTAGGAAATGTTGCCTATTACCAAATGATTACTTTGTTGAGCACTAGAAACTTTTTAGAGTAGTTAATAACAAAACATTTGTGAATGGCAAGTAGCTAAAAGTAGGTAAATCTTAGATATTTTAAATTGAGACTACCAGTGTATTTCATAGCACTTTGCCAAATCTAGATTTGGTACTGTTTTGCTAGCTATCATAAACTATTGATGATATTGTAACCCTGTTACATGGTTTTCCTTTGAAAATGATGGAATTCCGTATTCTCCCTTTTGTGACTCTTCTATAATATATATTTTTTCCCTTTGCCTAAATTTAGATTTAGAATTATGAAGCCAAATTTCTCTTATGGAGTGCTAGACCTAGTGTACTTTGTTAAGTAGACTTATCAACTTTGCATTTCAGTAGCACATGAGTGATATTAAAAGAATGATTCAATTAATTTTCACAGGGTAATGTACATTCAAGTCTTCATGAGTCGGAAGGACTCGATGGCAGCTGGTTTGGTTTTGGTTTTTATGTATCAGAGGGAACAGTCACATGTCTTTGATCAAGAAGTGAAAGGATAATAGCTACTTTTAATATAGTCTAATATATGTTAATCATATTTATCTGGAAGAAATGTCATGTTTACACTTATGCTTTACCTGAAAATTGGCTAAAAATGATATACAGTATTTGATGCCTTATTTTTTAAAAATAGCAATTTAAGTGATCAAATCTTAATATGATTTCATTGATCTCAGTACCTTTTGCAGCATTTAGTGACTTTCCTAATGTGTAACCACCTACCAAGGTGTTCCTCGTGAGTAAAAGGTAATTGTGTGACCAGCTAATTCGCAGGAAATGTTGGGATATGATTAGTCCAGGTGAAAATCAAAAATTTTTTATATAAAATGCATGGAAAGTAGCACAATATAAAGATGGCTCCATTTACATAATGTTGATGTGCTTGTAATTTATTGTAGTGGCTTGGTTATAGACTAAATTACGGGCCAATGGAAAATTAGTTGGTCTCAGTAATTACTGCTAAATGGTCATTTGAAAATACTTAGTTGGTGAAAATACTCTGTCATCTGAAGTCATAAGTATTCAGTAAATATCAGTTACCAATTTATACATGTTGTCTTATTTAATCCTTATAACAATTCAGTGAGTTGAGAATATTATCCTGATTTTACAGATCAAGAAACAGAAGCTTAGTGAAGTTAAGTAACGCATTTAAGGTAACTCATAGAGCCAGGATTCCAACCAAACATTTATGACCACAGGACCCAGGTTCTCAACTAGTAGACTAGGTTATAGTCCAGGTAAAAATCAGAACTGAGATCTAACTTTAGAGCTATGTTCTCAACCACAATGAACTTTTCATTAAAATATTTTAAATATCAAATAGTGGCCAAATTTAAAGTATTTTGCTTCTGGAATAGCATGCAGTTTCACTATTCATGCCAATTAAAATATAACTCACTTAGTTTCACCCCACTAATTTAGGATTTGTGATAATTTAATGTGATGTATAGAATAAAAAAGCTATGCCTTTTTAACTTGAGATCTTGCCACTGTCATTTAAATAAGATATTGGTGGGAATGGGAAATGATAGAATTTAATTTATCTTGTCGAGCAGAGGTCATGAGACTCTTTTTTTGTAAAGAGCCAGATACTAAATATAGCAAATGGCTTTGAGGGCCATATGGTCTGACTTACCTCTTCAAAAGTAGCTATAGAAATATATAAACAAATGTTCATAACTATGTTCCAAGAAAGCTATTTATAAAAGCAGGCAGCTGCCTGAATTTGGCATATTTGCCAACCCCTGTTATAGACAATCTTGTAATTTCTGCAACTAAAAAATAAGATTTACTTATTATTATTATTTATGTGGAAAAGAAATTTGCCAAAACGATAACAGTAGCATAAAGGAGAATGGCAGTGGTACCTAAAAGTAAAGAACACTTTTTCAGCATTTCTATGACTACCTTGATTAATTACTTCATAAATTATTTGATAGTTACAGAATATTCTTACTCATTCATTTCTGAAAGTTATCAATTTTTTTCTCTTGAAAAACAAATTTGCAATTTGGAGTTTTAACTAATTTGGGTGAACTTTCTTTTCTTTATCATAAGTTAAGAATGTTTACTGTAAAAAGACATGACATAATTGGGTGATGATTTATTTTATTAAATTTATTTTGAAGAGAATTTGACATCAGTAGATAAACTTAGATCATGGCTTATGAAAACATGCAGTTGAATTGTAGGCTTAGAAACGGAGTACTCTGCTGTAGTCAGTTTTCAGTGTTAAGATTTCTTGTTACAGGCAGTTTTGACCTTACAATGCCTTGTGGTGCCACAAAACTTTAATAAATGTAAGTCATTTGTGATACTGGCTAATGTGGTATATTGAATGCTAAATCTAATATATACTTAATCTTTTCAGAGATTCGTCAGCGAACTGCAGCTCAAAGAAACCTTTCCCCAGCACCAGCAACTGCTAACCAGGGCCCTCCTCCACAAGTTCCAGTGTCTCCTGGACCACCAAAGGACACTTCTGCCCCTGGTGGACCCCCAGAAAGAACTGTTACTCCAGCTTTACTATCAAATGTGCTACCAAGACGTCTTGGATCCCCTGCTACTTCGGTGCCTGGAATGGGTAAACAGAGCACTTAACGTTATTTACAGTTTGTATTGTTTTCTCTGGTTACCAATAAAACGGGCCATTTTCAGACAGTATGGAAATGGCGTTTCATTTGAAAATAGCAGAGCAGTTATCTGATTAAGCAGGAGTTCCATATTCAATTAGCCATAACTCTTTACAGCTGGCACCTTGTGATACTGAAACCTATTTCTTGAGCTCATTTAACTGTTACGGCTTCTTTGTTTAAATGGCAATAAAACTTTGTAGTATTCTATAGTCAACAGTATAGCATATCTTTTTGTATTCAATTTTAGAATGGCTCCAGGTTTATCTAAACTGGAGATAGAAGAATACACTTTTAGAATATATTCATGTTTTTTGCTAAACCCTAAACATATATTTTTAAACATGACAATTACTTAACATATTTCAGGAAGAATATTCCTGCATGGTGGTGTACAATACTACTTTTGCTAGTATAGACTGGTAGATTTTTCTTTTTTTTCAGTCATAGAACATTAGTATTTTCTGATAGATACTTTAGTATAAAGTCCTATCATGTTAACATACTGCCTTTACTACTGTCTTTTTTCTTTAGATTTCTTTTTTTCCCAGTGTGGTAGATCTCTAGAGGAAGATGCCATTTTGGAGTTTATCAGATTACCCTGAAATTTTCTTCTGGAGTGTGACTGGGGCACGAAAGCCCACTGCTTTAGCAGATCGCAATATTTTATGTAGATTTCCATGTCAGAGTATTGAATATGACAGTAAATTATTTGTCTTATTTTGGAATGTTTAGTTCTAATATTGCTTTGCTATTTCATGACTAGTTACTAACATATAACTTATGAGGCTAGGTAGTAGTAGATATCAGGTAGTCAGGGCATTTATGGAGTAAAATCAATGAGCAATTTATTGCAGTACATTTTTTCACCTGTTTTTCCCTCCAAATAAGTGGCATAAGATTTTAGAAAACTAGAAAACTTAAATTTATAAACAAATTAAGAAAGCTGACTACAAATGAAATGTGCACAAATCTTATAACTTTTAAAGTAGTTATTTTAAAAATACTTTTAAACTCAGCATAATGATATCTCTATAAGGCAGTCATATGTTTTATGAAACTGAGAAAAGTTAAATCAATTGAAAATTATTCATCTTTCAGTATTTATCTGGTTGATTTGAACTACCCATGATTTGTAAACTAAAGTTTCTAGTTGTTTAATGAAAGAACATTTTTTTCTGTGAGAATATATCAATTATATACACTTGTGTATATAACTAGTTATAAAGAAATAGAAGTTTAGCAACTAATGTATAGCAACAAAAACTGTATTGCAGATGTACGGATAGGGTTGTACAAGGACTAATGGCCTAAATTTCATGATCACGTAAACATACATATTCTGCTAAAGTTACTAATTAATTTCTGTGTGAAAGACTGTTTAAGTTGTACATTGCCAAAAATATGAATGAGCTAAGTGATTTCTTATAGAGAAGATTAATAATTCATTTTTTCATTATACCATATTTGTGGAAGAGAATCAATTTAATGTGTACTACCACAGGGTACCCATATGTTTGAAAATTAATAACCAGCAGGTATTTGATAATTTGCCAAGCTGTGTAAAAATGACCAGTATTCCTACAATGATTGCTTTTGATGTTTGTATTAATTACTGTTGTCTATAACAGCATGACTGTGAAGATGTGTTATTTTGAAAGTTATCAGTATGCAAAGAATTTAAGATGTTTTTATGAAATCTGTTGTCATGTTTTATGTATCCAGATTCTTTTATGGACATTTTCATTTTAAAAATGTAGAAGTAGAATACTCAAGCAAAAGATAAGTTTGAGTTAAATTCTCTCTCAAAATCTAATTTGGCATGTCTTTTCAATTTGAAAATTTGGTAATGAGGGATGACACCTAATATCTGCATTCAAATTTATTTTTGATGGTAATGATTGAATAATGATATTAGCACAAGTAAACCAACAACTTATCTGAAGAAACTGTAAAAATGTACTTGATTTGTAATACTAAGAATTCATTCTAGAACCTAAATTTCATTTCATAGGTATAATTTTGTTATCAGTTGCCCTTTTTTAGGTGGTAACAGCTTCTGGGTTTGTGATTATTTATAAAGTAATTCTCTTTTTTCTTATTCCTTTAAAATATTAATACAGTAAGCTACCCCAAAGCCAGTCTTGAATGCTTTAAAGTTTTTGTCACAGCCATTTTGAAAACTTTGTATCCTTATATCACAAGAGTTGTTACAGCAGGGCCTTATTTTGTTTGAGTCTTCTACGAGATTGCAATGTAAACCTCCATTGCTGCCCCCCCCATATTATGTTCATCCTACCTCAGTTACAATGGCAGACATTACATTTTATTTATTTATTATCTCACTTCCTTCTTAGTGCCTTCTAGGTTGTCTCTCAATTCAAAATACCTACTGCTAACAGTTCTCTTTCAATTTTCAGAGATTTTGGAGATATAATTCATAAAATTTGAATTTGTAACTTTTTATTGATACTGCTTTTATGTAATGTAAATCATTATATAAATTCTATGATTTCTTCTTCCACTCCACACTCCCCATTAGTCTCTTCTGATACTGCCTAATATTATATGAAACAGCATATCTCTTGATTTATTTTGTTGTTGCTAGTTGCTGCCAAGTCAGCTCTGACTCATGGCAACACCATGTACAACAGAACAAAGTGTTGCTTGGTCCTGCACCACCTTCATAATCTTTGGTATGCGGAAGTCCTAGTAGTGAAGTGCTTAACTATTTGTGCTACCCAGGGACTCCTTATATACAGACATACCTTGGAGATATTGCGGGTTCAGTTCCAGACTGCCGCAATTAGAGCAAATATTGCAATAAAGCAAGTCACATGAATTTTTTGATTTCTCAGTGCATATAAAAGTTATATTTATACTATACTGTAGTCTGTTAAGTGTGTAATAGCATTATGTCTAAAAAACAATGTACATACTTTAATTAAAAACTACTGCTAAAAATGCCTTTAGCAACTTGTAATGTTTTTGCTGGTGGAGGGTCTTGCTTCGCTATTGATGACTGCTGACTGATTAGGGTGGTGGTTGCTGAAGCTTGGGTTGGCTTTCGCAGTTACTTAAAATAAGACAACAGTGAACTTTGCCGCATTGATTGACTCTTCCTTTCATGAAAGATTTCTCTGTAGCGTGCAGTGCTGTTTGATAGCATTTTACCCACTGTAAAACTTCTTTCAAAATTGGAGTGAATTCTCTGAAACGCTGCCTCTGTTTTATCTACTAAGTTTATGTAACATTCTAAATCCTTTGTTGTCTTTTCAACAATGTTCATAGCATCTTCACCAGGAGTACATTCCATCTCAAGAAACCACTTTCTTTGCTCACCCATGAGAATCAACTCCTCGCCCATTAAAGTTTTATCATGAGATTGCAGCAATTCAGTTATATTTTCAGACTCCACTTCTAATTCTAGTTCTCTTGCTATTTACAACACATCTGCAGTTACTTCCTCCACTGAAGTCTTGAACCTCTCAAAGTCATCCATGACGGTTGGAATCAACTTCTTCCAAACTCCTGTTAATGTTGATATTTTGACCTCCTCCCATGAATCATAAATGTTCTTAGTGGCATCTAGAATGGTGAATCCTTTCCATAAGGTTTTCAATTTACTTTGCGCAGATGCATCAGAAGAATCATTGTCTGTGGCAGCTATAGCCTAATGAAATGTATTTCTTAAATATTAAGACTTGAAAGTTGAAATTACTCTGTGGTCCATGAGCTGCAGAATGGATATTGTGTTAGCAGGCGTGAAAACATTAATGTCCTTGTACATCTCCATGAGAGCTCTTGGGTAACCAGGTGCATTGTCAATGAGCAGTAATGTTTTGAAAGGAATCTTTTTTTCTGAGCAGTAGATCTCAGCAGATCTCAACAGGGCTTAAAATATTCAGTAAATCATGTTGTAAACAGATGTGCTGTCATGTAGGCTTTTTTGTTCCATTTATAGAGCATAGGCAAAGTAGATTACCATAATTCTTAAGGGCCTTAGAATTTTTGGAATGGTAAATGAGCATTGGCTTCAACTTAAAGTGACCAGCTTCATTAGCCCCTAACAAGAAAGTCAGCCTGTCCTTTGAAGCTTTGAAGCCAGGCATTGACTTCTCTCTAGCTATGAAAGTCCTAGATGGCGTCTTCTTCCAATATAAAGCTGTTTCATCTACATTGAAAAGCTGTTGTTTAGTGTAGCCACCTTCATCAATTAGCTAGATCTTCTGGATACCTTGCTTCAGCTTCTACCTCAGCGCTTGGTGCTTCACCTGCACTTTTATGTTATGGAGATGACTTTTTTCCTTAAACCTCGTGAACCAATCTCTGCTAGCTTCAAACTTTTCTTCTGCAGCTTCCTCACCTCTTTCAGCCTTCAAAGAATTGAAGAGAATTAGCACCTTCCTCTGGATTAGGGTTCAGCTTATGGCAATGTTGTGGCTTATTTGTTCTTCTGTCCAGACCACTGAACTTTCTCCATGTCAGCTTTCTCTTTATTTCCCCTAATTAGTGTGGCTAAAGGTATCAATTTTATTGATTTTCTGAAAGAACCCCGCTTTTCTCTATTGTTTCTGTGTTTTCTATTTTATTGATTTCCTTTCTGATCTTTATTATTTCCTTTATTCTGTTTTCGTTGGGTTTCATTTACTCTTTTTTTCTAGTTTCTTAAGGCGGAAGTTGACGTCATGAGTTTTAGACTTCTTACAGTTATTTGCTGTTATAAAATTTCCTCTATCTACTGCATTAGTTACATAACGTAAATTTTGATATGTTGTTTTTTCATTTTCATTGAGTTCAAAATTCTAACTTTCCTTTTGATTTTTCTTTGAATGCTGGGTTATTTAGATCTATGTTATTTAGTCTCCAAATGTTTGAAAAATTTCCAGATATCTTTGTGTTACTTATTTCTAATTCTATTGTGGTCAGAAAACATACTTTGTATTATGTGAATCCTCTTAAATGTATTGATACTTGTTTTATTCCCCAGAATATCATCTGTTTTGGTAAATGTTCTGTGTTCACTTGAAAAGATATTTGCCGTATTTTTACACAAAAAAACCCTTCCGTGTTTGCCAATTTCACCCACCCCCTAGGAGGTATTTTTGTAAATGCAGTATGTTAATTTTTGTTTTCAGCAACATGTAAAAAGAAATTGGTATAATGGTGCTTATGAAAATATCTTGCAGGGAGAGGGCATGGTTGGCAAATAAATATAGAAAGCACATATTCTGTTCCTGTTAGAGTGGCTGTAGATGTCAATTAGGTCAAATTGGTAGTAGATAGTGTTGTTAAAGTCTCTATATCCTTACTAATTTTCTGTCTGCTTGTTCTATCAATTACTGAGAGAAAGATGTTGAAATCTCCGACTATAATTTTGTATTTGTCTCTTTCTTGCAGTTCTGTCAGGTTTTGTTTCATGTATTTTGAAGCTCTAAACACATATATGTTACGAGTGTTATATCCTGTGGATGAATTAACTCCTCTGTCATTATGAAATTACCATTTTTATCTCTGGTATTCTTTGCTCTAAAAGCTACTCTGTCTGATATTAATACACCCACTCCAGACTTTCTTTTGAAATTAATGTTAGCATATTATATTTATTTGCTATCATTTTACTTTTAAATTAAACCTTTTTGTTACTTTATAGTTAAAATGGTTTTCTTGTTGGCAGCATATAATTGGGTCTTGCTTTAATATACAGTCTGATAATCTCTGCCTCTTAATTAGGGTATTCAGGCCATTTAGATTTAATGTAATGATTGATTTATTTGGGTTTGGGTTTAAATCTTCCACATTGCTATTTTTTTTTATTTGTCCTATCCGTTCTGGTACCCTTTTCCTTGCTTTCTTACTTATTTTTGATTGAGTATTTTTTATGATTTCATTTTATGTTCCTTTTTGCCTTATTAGCTATAACATTTTGTCATGTTATTTTAGTGGTTGCTTTTGGGTTTATAGTATATGTATCTTTAATTTATCATGGTTCACCTTCAAGTGATATACCATTTTACACATAGTTTAAGAATCTCACTACAGTATGCTTACATTTCTTCTCTCCTGGCCTTTGTGCTATTGTTGTCATACATTTTACTTCTACCTATGTTATAAACTGTACAATAAATTGTATTTTTTTTAAACTTTTCATATTAAACTTTATTGATGTTTTATAGCTTCACATTGAGATTTTACAATGCTGTCTTTTTTTCCCCAAACATTTTATTGTGCTTTAGGTGAAAGTTTATAGAGCATATTAGTTTCCCACTCAAAAAATTTATACACAAATTGTTTTGTGACAGTGGTTGCAGTCCCTGCAATATGTCAGCGCTCTCCCCCTTTCCCCCCTGGATTCCCTGTTTCCATTCATCTGATATTCTTGTCTTTCAGTGGCTTCCTTTGCCTTAGCCAAGTTGTGCTGACTTTCCCTATATTGTGTATTGCCTTTCCCTTCACCAAAGTTAATACATGTCTACTATCTAGTTAGTGGTTTCGCCTTCCCACCCTTTCCCTCCCTCCCTGGTAACCCTCAAAGATTGTTTTTTTCTGCAGTGTAAACATTTTCTTAAATTTTTATAGTAGTGGTCTCTACAATATTTGTCCTTTTGTGATTAACTTATTTCACTGAGCATAATGCCCTCCAGATTCATCCATTTTCTGAGCTGTTTCGTGGATTTTATCATTGTTCTTTATTGTTGCATAATATTCCATTATGTACCATAATTTGTTTATCCATTCACCTATTGATGGCACTTAGGTTATTTCCATCCTTTTACTATTGTAAATAATGCTACAGTGAACATGGATATGCATATGTCTATTCACGTGACAGCTCTTATTCCTCAGAGTGGGATGAAGGGATCATATGGTATTTGTATTTCTAGCTTTTTAAGGAAGTGCCATATTGTTTTCCATAGTGGTTGTACCATTTTACATTCCCACCAGCAGTGTATGAGAGTTCCAGTCTCCCCACAACCTCGTCAGCATTTATTATTTTCTGGTTTTTCGATCAGTGCCATTCTTGCAGGGGTGAGATGGTATCTCGTCATGGTTTTGATTTGTATCTCTGATGGCTATTGATCGCAAGTATCTTTTCATGTATTTGTTGGCCGCCTGAATGTCCTCTCTGGTGAAGTGAGTATATTGTTATTATGTTTCCTTTAAGTAGTCAATGATCTTTTAAAGAGATTTAAATAATAAAAAAAGTCTTTTATATTTACTCACATGATAAATATTTCAGATGTTCTTCATTCTTTTGTATAGAGCCAGTTTTCCATCTGGTGTTATTTTTCTTCTGCTTGAGGGACTTCTTTTAACTGAAGAATTTCTCTTTAACATTTTTTTAGTGCAGTTCTGCTGATAAATTCTTTCAGCTTTTATATGTCTGAAAAATCTTCATTTTGCCTTCATTAAGAAGATATTTTTATTGTAGTTTAATAGTCTTTGTTTCAGAACTTTAAAGAAGTTTCACTGTCTTCTGGCTTGCATCTTTTCTGTTAAGAAATCTGTCCTCGTTCTTATCTCTTTCTCTGTACATAATGTATCTTTTTCTGCTTGCTTTTAAGACTTTTTCTTTATCACTGATTTTTAGCAATTTGATTATGCTGTGTCATGGTGCAGTGTATATGTTTCTTGTGCTTAGGGTTTGTTGAGATTTTTGGATCTTTGGGTTTTTAGCTTTAATCAAATTTGAAAAATTTTTGTGCATTATTTCTTCAGATAATTTTCTTTGCCCTCCTCTTTCCTCTTCTTCATGGACTCCAGTTATACATATATTAGGCTGCTTGAGATTGTTCCACAACTTGCTGATGATTTATCTAAAAATAAATAAAATTATTCTTTTCTCTGTGTATCATTGTATATGGGTTCTATTGTTATGTCTTCAGATTCACTAATCCTTGTGTTTTTTTTTTGCAATGTCTAATCTGTTCATCCCATCTGTTAATTTTTTATCTCAGACATTATAGTTTCATCTGTAGAAGTTCAGTTGTGTCTTTTTCAATATCTTCCACGTCTCTACTTAACATATTGACCTTTCCTCTAGATTCTTGAACATATGGCATATAGCCATAATAAGCATTTTAATGTCTTTTGTCTACTAATTCTATCATTTATGTCATTTCTGGGTCAATTTTGATTGATTTTTCTCCTCATATGGTTTATATTTTCCTGGTTATTTACATGCCTGGTAATTTTTGATCCAGTGCCAGACATTGTGAATTTTACCTTATTGGATACTGACTATTTTTGTATTCCTATAAATATTCTTGAGCTTTGTTTTGAGATGCAGCTTAAGTTTTTTGGAAAAAAAAAATGATCTTTTCAGGGCTTCTTTTAAGCTTTTTAGGGAGGGATCAGAGCAGTATTTAGATTAGGTCTATCGAGGCAAAACCCTCTGAATACTCTACCCAACAACCTGCAAGATACGGCTGATGGGAACAGGCACTATTCCAGGCCCTGTGTGAGCACTGTTTCCTTTAATCCTTTTGAATGGTTCTTCCTCTATCTTCAGGTAGTTTTCGTACATACATGTGCTGATCAGTACTCTGCTGGATTCTCTAGGGGGACCTCTGCAGATCTTTGGTGTTGTTTCTATGTGTATTCTTTCCTCTGTGGTACTCTTTCCTCCGAACTCTAGCTGCATTGGCCTACCCAGAATTCCAGCTCTATCTCTTCAACTCAGCAAGACTACTGCACTTCTTCACCTGGTTCTACCTTCCTGTGTCACTGCCTGGAAACTCTCTCTAGGCAGTAAGCTGGGGCAATTGTAGGCTTCATCTTATTTGTTTTTCATCTCCCAGGGATTGTTGTCCTATATTGCTTGATATCCGGTATCTTTAAAATCATTGCTTCATATATTTTGCCCAATTTTTTAATTGTTTCAGGCAGGAGTGTAAATTTGGCCCCAGTTCCTCTGTTATGACCCAAAGAGGAAGTTCCTTAATTTATTACATAAACTCTTAAAAGCTGGGGAGTCTAGAATTAGTTTATGCAAGACCCAACACAGTTTCATTTCCTAATAGAGTATGTTGGTGATTCTTATATAGCACATAGTTAAATAATTTTTTTTTGTAGTGCAGTATTTTTAATGAAAATTTGAATGCATCAAAGAGATTTGTAAGAATTAATGTTTTGTAAAAATCTTTTAAAAATTCCCAAGCGTAAATATTTCTTGGTAACGAAATTAAATTTTACAGTTATATTTATGTATTTGGCAGGTCTTCATCCTCCAGGTCCACCTTTAGCAAGACCCATTCTCCCTCGAGAACGAGGTGCTCTGGATAGAATTGTTGAATATTTAGTTGGTGATGGTCCACAGAACAGGTAATTTTTACTAGGATGGTAGATGAATGCAGATAAAAAATATGTTCATTGGTCAGGGTGTTTATGTGTGTGCTAGACATTCTACAGTTTTGTGGCTTCTATTTCCTAATTTTAGAACTTCATGGAGTATTTTATAGCCTTGGAAAAGCATACACACTCAGTTGTTTTTATCAGGAGTTTGGATAAAGTAGTCTAGATAAAATCCCTTTGGAAAAAAATAATATTAGCCCTACTATAAGTTTATTTTTATGCTTTGAGAGTGTAAAAATAGTGAAAACCTGGTAGAATGTAAGAAATGGAGTTTTATAGATGTCAGTACTGGACTTGGTGATGGTGATAATTTTAATAACAATGAGGATGATTTACATGTATTTAGCACTTACAGTTCTCAAAATGCTTTTCCAATTATTATTTGATCCTCATAATAACTCTAGGAAGATAAGCATAATATAAACAGAGCTATTGCCATAGCATTGACTTATAAAAAATGTATGCGATAGTAAAGTAAGATATCTGACAAGTTTACTGGTTAATATCATTTGATAAAGGAAAGGGTCCAGAATTTAATGTTAATACAATAAATTGTATGTTATTCAAAACAGATGGAATGAAGTTTGATAGCATCAAGTATTTGTTAAGTACATACACAAAGAATAGAAAAAGTGTATAAATTGAAAATGAGGAAGATGTTTAACTGGAAAAGGTATTTGAATCATGATATACAGAAATTAACCTTTGGACTGGACTAAACAAAATTACATTTCTTTACTGCAAGACTTCTCAGAGGCTTTAATAATATTCATTGAAGGGTTCTATCTTTTCCAGTCTTATCTGACCACAGATTTGGGGGCTGTCATCTCAAGGAATATACTTTGAGGAGCACTGAAAAGTAAATGTTCTGTTAACAGATGTGTTTCTGCTAACTTCCAAACCAAACCCGTTGCCATGAAGTTGATTCCTACTCGTAGCAACCCTGTAGGACCAAGTAGAACTGCCCCTTAGGGTTTCCAAGTCTGTAATCTTTGTGGAAGCAGACTGCCACATCTTTCTCCTGCAAAGCAGTTGGTGGGTTCGAACCACGGGCCTTTTGGTTAGCTGCCAAACATGTAACCACTGCACCACTAGGGCTCCTTTCTGGTAACTTAATCAAGATCTATTCATTTATCTGTTACCTAGTTTATTTTAATTTGATGTATAAGTTAAATTTTAAAATGATTGGAATTATGACTTTATAAAACATGTTTAATGATTATTGTTTATGGTTTACTAAGTAACATCTAATTTGGTATGGCATATTTAGTTATGTTAAAATATACATTAGCCATGATGGCTAAAGTAGCTTCTCTCTTGAGCTTTGTCTGTGTTTGTAACTGGTCTGTTCGTTTTTCCTTTTTGTGTAGGTATGCCCTTATATGTCAGCAGTGTTTTTCTCATAATGGCATGGCTTTGAAAGAAGAATTTGAATACATTGGTAAGAATTATTGAGCATTTTGATTTAAAATATTTTACTTTTAAATATTTTATCCGATGCCAGTGGTTAAGAGCTTGGCTGTTAACCAAAACGTTGGCAGTTCAGATCTACCAGCGGCTTCTTGGAAACCGTATGGGGCAGGTTTACTCTGTCCTATAGGGTCGCTGTAAATTGGAATCGACTTGATGACAATGGGTTTTTTAATGCCACTTTCCATGTAATGTCAGTTTGTTATAGATACTGTCCCTGTATAGGTACCCTGGTAGTGCAGTGGTTAAAGCACTTGGCTGCTAACTGAAAGGTCAGTGGTTTGAACACATCAGCTACTCCTTGGGAGAAAAATGTGGCAGTCTGCTTCCATAAAAATTACAGCCTTGGAAATCCCTATGGGGTCACTATGAGTCGGAATTGACTTGACAGCAGTGGGTTTGGTTTTTTGGGTTTTATCTCTGAATGCGTGTGTCAGGCATATTTTTCTTATCTTAGCACTCAAAACAAAGCAGGTCTTAGAAGACAACTCAGGTTTCTTCCTCATAACAATGCTCAAACTCTAGGCCAATTGTTCTCAAAGCTCACTGTGCATCAAAATCCCCAAAGAGCTTTTAAAATTGATGACGCCCATGACATACCTACGAAGAGTCTGATGTCATTGATCTAGGGTAGTGTCCAGGCATCAGCATTTTCTTCTCAGCTCTGAAGATGATTCTTATGTGTAGCTACTATTAAAAACTACTGTACTAAACTAATTATGCTTCTGAAATATGATGTATCACATTTTTACTTTGATGTGAGCAAGGTTCTGGATATTTAAAATACCTAGTAATTTTGGTGACTAGGTCATTATTAATATTGCTTTGCTATTAATTAACCTGCTACGTAACTTACTATGCCTTTTTAGCTTTGAAATTAGTATGCTTATTCTAATAATAGTTAGAAAATGTGCCTTAAAATTAACTTTAGGTAGAACATGTGTCATCATAATGATATTAAAACAACACGTGAGTTTCAGAAGGAATAAATAACTTTTGAAGGGTTCTTTGACTATTTGCAATAGTAATCTTAATAAGTTATCTAATTAGTCCTTGAACTTTCTTTGGTTTGTAGTTTTGTTTATTTTTTAATTTTTTTCTCTAGCCTTTCGGTGTGCCTACTGTTTTTTCTTGAATCCGGCAAGAAAAACCAGGCCCCAGGCTCCAAGACTTCCAGAGTTCAGTTTCGAGAAGAGGCAGGCAGTGGAAGGCTCCAGTTCAGCTGGTACCTCACCATCAGGAAGTGCGCTTCCATCAGAAAACCAATTCAGTGAAGGTATGAATATATTACCTTAAAAGTTTTTTCTCTTAATAAAATGTGCTATTTAACAATAAAAGCATAGTGCTTTTATTCTTATAAGAATGGATTAATTAATCGATTTTGCAGCATACATGTATTAGCTATTACTCTGATACGGTAGTCTCCTGTGTCGTCGTAATGATGTGCTTCAGTTTTAAAATGGTGGTTCTACTGTGATAAGCAGCATCTTGCAACAGCTAGATAAACATTGCTTATGTATTGACCTCTTGTAGTAACTGTTGGGAGATTTGACTAGTGATGTTTTCATGGAATCATTTTTTTCAAATTATCTCAGTGAAGCAGATTGAGAACTATGGAACATCTACTCATAAAGGTAACATTCTTATAAGATTTGTGATTAACATTGATTAAGATAGGTTTGCATCGACCACATGAATTGTTAGAAATTACCAGAAAGCAGAAAACTTTGGAACTGGAAAGTCATCCTCGCATAGGACTGATGTTCTTTTGAAACAAAAATTTATAGAGGCCTGTGAGATTAACATTACCGATGATGGGGTGCATGCCTTTGATATAAAATCAACCTCATTTTAGAGAAGCAGAATTTGTCAGAGTTGATGGGTTTTAGAAGTCATCTTGCAATTGCCTTAGGAATTCTAGAGGCGATGTCATGAAAAATTGGAAAAGATGAGATGGAGGATCTGACTATTAATTGCCAACTGTTTCTTGCTATTCGTATTAAGCCAATATAACTATTTTTGTTCAGCAATTCTGAATTATGAAGATTGCTAAAATTATGGCGCAGGGGGGCGACTTCCGGCAAAATGGCACTCTAGGCAGAAGCACCATGCTGTCCCTCCACAGCAAAGATCCAAAAAACTAAGC